CGTGCAAACTGGAAGCCGAGACGCCTTCAATCACGTTTTAGGGTTTAGGGTTTAGGGTTCTTATGATTAAATCTTATTGGGGTTCCTATTTATAATTTGGGGCCGTCGAGTCCTTAATTAGGGAATATGCCTTAAATTTCATTGGGGTTCCTGTCACAATCTAGGGGCCTAGTCCTTTAATTATGGGTTTTGGAGTCTCTGGGGACATGTTGCGGTCCGAGGTTGAGGAGCGAAGGCTGTCCGCTTGACTTCTAAACGGGCGATAGGGTCTAGGGTTTATAGGGGTTTAGGGTTTAGGGTTTAGGGTTAAGGGTTTAGGGTTTAGGGTTCAAGGGTTTGGGGAAGTGGGCCGTAGACGTCTCCGTCAATCTTAAAAAAGAAACGTATCTGTTTTGATTGACCGCGTGCTTACGGAAGGAACTGATCATTCGAATAAGTTTCAGAGCACAACTGATCAATTGAATACCTCCCTGACATGGGCATAGGCTGCCATGACCACCCCAACAATGAAGAAAGTAGTTTGAAATCAACGTTCTTTCGAGAACTCGCCCCTTCAGATTTGCTTCTGGGCATTATTCTGGGCATCCCTGATCATGATGGAAGAATTCAGAGGGATCCGCTGCACATCTCCTAGCGCACGGTGAGGAAGAACTTACCCTAAACCCTAAACCCTAGACCCTAAACCCTAAACCCTTAATGCCACGTTTTGGGATTGGACCACTCCGGGCAGTCACGAGACGGAGCAAAAACCCAACCGGCAAGGCGCGGGGTTTAGGGTTTAGGGTTTAGGGCGTCTCGCCGCGCAGCGGCAGTAAGTACCATGTGGAAATGGCGCCCCGACACACCCAGGGGTGTGAGGGGGCGGCATATCTACGTCTAGACACGGAGATGCGATCTCCTGACAAAACAATTACAAATTGGTTCCCGTTTCTTTTCCCAAAGCTTACACAGGCTACCACCCAAATTTTTACCTTTTAGGGTTTGGCGCCCTCAATTCACCTTTGCCGTGGCCCTGCCCATTTTCCAGCAAACATCCATGGCAAGGAGGGGACAGCAGTTTGGCGGGAGGGCAGGAAAGGGCCAGGGCCAGGGAGGGCCGGGGGTCAGAGAGGGCGGCCCGGAGACTAGGACTGGGCCAGAGCTCGCTGTGGAGGCTCCGGACCCCCTGGCCTGGGGCCTAGGAGACCCGTGTTCTAATCTTTTGTCCATCCCAAGAAATGGTGTCAATCTCTGCCGAAAACCCTCTAAGTCCAGGCACCCGAGAAAAAGGGTGGGTACGGCCTAAGCAGGCCGGGGTGGGAATTTAATGTTTAGCGGTTTAGGGTTTAGGGTTTAGGGTTTCGAGTTTAGGGTTAAGGGTCAAGGGTTAAGGGTTAAGGGTTTAGGGTTTAGCGGTTTAGGGTTCAGGGTTTAGGCTTTAGGGTTTAGGGGTCTAGGGTTTAGGGGCGGCTGCCTGCGTGGGGCTGATTTTCCATGCGCCGATGGCGCCACCCCCACTTCCAGGGATCTGTGGGTGGCGGCGCATCCTGCGCCCAGCGACGCAGGCATGATGGCGTCAAAGAGTCCATCGCAACTGGGATTTCTTTAATTTTTCCCGCCCGCTGTGAGAAGTCACAGGCTACCACCCAAATTACTTCCTGTTGGGGTTTAAGGCTGCGCCCTCAATTCCCACTTCAAGATGCAACAAGCCAGAAGACGGGCGGGGTCTGGCGGCCCTGAAACCTGCTGGAGCGGTGCTTGGCAGGGCTTGGGGGTCGGTCTGGCACGCAGCCGGAACCTGGAGAGGGCCTGGAAAGGCCTGGACAAAGGCAGATTTTCGAGCGCTGGCTTTTTTTTGAGGTCCGATCCAGCCATCTGCTGCTCGGGGGGCCAATTTTCTCGGGGGCCACCCTGAGCGTCGTTCTGAGGCTCCGGGCCTGGGGTTTAGGGTGAGGGGAAAATCTATGTACATCGTAAGGGTTTGGCCCGGGAAGAGCCTCGAGGGGCTCCATTCGTCCATTCTCCACAGGCTCCTCCCATTGTCTGACCCAGTGCGGGTGTAAAGGCTGACGTGTTTCTTCAGTGTCTGACCAGCCTAGTAATGGGTGGGAACGGCCCAAGCAAGTCGGGTGGGAATTTAGGGTTTAGGGTTTAGGATTTAGGGCTTTAGGGTTTAGGGTTTAGGGTTAAGGGGTTTAGGGTTTAGGGCTTAGGGCTTAGGGCTTAGGGCTTAGGGTTTTAGGATTTAGGGTTTAGGGTTCCGGGCTTAGGCTTTTGGGCTGAGGGTTTTGGGGATTTCCTTGAAAGGGTTCCTTAAAGGGTTCTATAAGGGCTGCTATAAGGGTTTAGGGTTGAGGGGCCTTAATAATAATAAGTAGAATAGGGTTTTGGAGTATAGTATACTAGAATTATAACAAGGAGCCCTAACAGTAATATTGATTGATTCATTGATTGATTGATTGATTGATTGATTGATTGATTGATTGATTGATTGGGAGTTTCGCGCTAACAGTAATATTGGCAATATTGGCAATTATTTAGGCTTCCATATTAGGGCTCTTAGTGCTCTTAGGACTCTTAGGGCTAAGGGCTTGAGGTGTAGGATCCTCCGTTCGGGATCGTGGGCTCGTGCAGCGAAGGGCTTAGGGCTTAGGGTTTAGGGTTTAGGGTTTAGGTTTAGGTTTAGGGTTTAGGGTTCAGGGTTTAGGTTTAGGGTTTAGGGTTTGAGGCCTAGGGTTCTTCATTCTAGGGCTACTAAACTGAGAATACTATATAAAGTTGCGATAACATGGCTAGTATAACTGTAAACAGTAACTCATAAGGGCTCTTGTTACGGGCTTTGCTTGGGGCTCAGGGTTAAGTCACCATGATAGGGACATCTACTTCGCAGGTAGTGGAATGTCCCTCAAACTAACTTCCTGAACAAGACCAGTATCTGGAAACAGGGATGACAGGTACTGCTCATACAAGGGAATCACGAAGAGCAGCAGCACTATCACCAACTGCAACAGCTTGTCCAGGATTTGAAGGAGCAAAGCTTGGTCATGTGGAAAACTTGTGGCGAATGCGGCTGTGGAAACGGCGAGGGAGAGGCTGAAAAGGCCTAGACCATTGACCAACGCAATCCGCACAAGCCAGTATTTCAAGAGCCCCCATAGGCTGCGGCAGCTAGTTCCTCTTGCTCTGAATCTCCACGAGAATTCTGCAACCTCCGCCGTCTGCCCTGCCCATCGAACACCCTGACGATTGGCCTCCATCATGGACCCACATAAAGTGCTGTCGATTGGTGGCGCCACGGCTACCAAAACTGGCAGCATCACTACGCGAGCCCGGCGATGGCAAACAGCCGCCTGGGCCAGCATCATCATGTCTTCACCCATGTATCCGGGATGGTGATAGCCTTACTTGTCCAGTTCTTAGGGGAACTAAAGGTTTACCTTCAGCATGACGCACTGATTACTACAGCACTCCATAAAGGATTCATGCTGTACTGAGCAACCCATCTTCACGTACTGCAGAAGGGGCAGGCTGTAGCAAGTGACCACCATGACGTCCAGCCCGAACAAGGTCGGGTAGCAAAAGGTCCGCATGGACGTAAGCGCACGCGAGGGTCCATAGCCTGAGTTTTTGGCAAGTAGCTTTATTTCAATCGCAAGTGTAAGCAAAGCTTACAGTCAACGCTGTATCCAAGCATAGGGTGACTGAAAACTCAGCTACTACCCCCTAGACCCTAAAACCTAAAACCCTAAACCCTAAACCCTAAAACCTAGAACCTAAAACCCTAAACCCTAAAACCCTGAACCCTGAACCGCGAAGAAGAGCCCAGTAGCTCAGCTCCCTGTTCAGCAGGCTCACCGGCAGCGGCTGCCACACGACGGCTTCGGAGGTAGTGGATGCCATCTGCTGGCAAGACAGCCTGGGTTGGGTTTAGGGTTTAGGGTTTAGGGTTTAGGGTCCCTAAAGCCAAGGAACTTAATTCAAGTTACCATGATGGGGACGTATAGTAAATAATAGGGTTTCCTTATCATAGTAGCTTATTTCAAGTTCCTTAACAGCAACCCAGCAGCTCAAGCTCTTCGAAATAGTTCGGAGGTAAATGAACTTGGGAGTCCAGCTTGGTCAGAACCTTGGTTTCAGGGCTCAGGAACTCAATTTCGGTGTAGGGTTTAGGGTTTAGGGCATTAGAAAGTCTTACTTCATAGCACAAATAGTCTTTCTTAGCTCAAGTTCCTGAACGAGAACCTAGGAACGTACTTCGAGATGGCTCCCAGGCTGCCATTGCCGCGCTGGAGAAGTGCAGTGACGTCTTGGGACAAGGCATACGCCAGGTTAGAGCAAAGGCCTCGGATTTCACCCTTCGAAGCACCCGCCGGATGCACGTAGAAGCACACCTCGGGCACGTTTGAGAGGCATCTCCTTACTTCTCCAATAAGCCAGGGAAATAAAAGGTTAAACTTTCAGATTACTACCAAGTTATAAGAGCCCCAAAAGTTTAAAGGTTGGGTATTGGAGAACTAAGTCTCTTGTAGAGCTCGAAACGCTCCTCCGTCCGATCTGTGGCCTCCTCCATAGCGAAGACCACTCTCATGCGCGGTGCGGCTGCAGACAGATTAAGTCGAGTGACCGTGGCCAGGACCATCTCGTCTGATTCCTTGTAGATGGGTACACACACCAAATGCTGCCATCCACCTTTGCAGCTCCCCTGGCAGCCTGCTTCGCAGTCTTCGGAGCTCTGGCCACTGCCACTGCCCTTCGCACAAGAGGAGGTCTGCCTTCGTCCACGAAGTATCCAAGCCATCCGTATGGCTGCCAGAATTGCATAGGCTCCCATGAGAAGGAAGATGGATTCTATGGCAACTAGCACGTAGACACCGACTTCGCCACATGCCAGAGCCCAGAAAGGCGAAGAGACCAGGCCAAGATGGCCCAGAAGGAAGACGAGGTTCACCTCCAGGGCAACTCTGGAGAACAACTCTCCTTGGGTCGGGTAGTAAACTCCTCAGGCGCGAATTGCATGCGCCCTGAAGCCTAAACCCGAAGCCCTAAACCCCAAAAGGGCGCCCTGAAGCCTGAACCCTAACCTTTGAAGACTAGACGCTAAAGACGTAAGAACAGCCCCTGCCTCCGGGGCAGTTCGTGCAGGAGCACCCCACTGGACCGCTGCAGGAACGACATCCATGATATTGCCTTATGATCGCTACTACCTTCGCTAGAACTGCGGTCATGAGTATCATTATCGTTTCTATCGCCGTCTCTAAGATTACTGTTGCCATTTATGTTGCTGTCGGTGTATATTTGTTTTGCTCCTGATCAGCGGGCACTGGCCGATGTGGTGCTGCGGCCGAAATCGGCCACAAAGAGACGGTTGCTATCAGGCTCCTAGGGTCTTGATTCCTTGAGGTTTTACGGTTTAGGGTTTAGGGGTTTAGGGCTAAGGATTTAGTGTAGAGCTTACAGGTAGAGTTCAGGGTCAATGCTTGGATGAGGCCCCGGAGAACCCACTGCCCAAACAAAAGTCTTCGGGGCATCAAGCCGTAGAAGCCCTACAAGCCCGATTTGTAAACCCTATAAGCCCGCTTATAAGCCCTATAAACCGTACGAACCATAAACCCAGGTCCCTTAACTCGAAGCCGTAATATCTTAGAATAGGGTTTTGGCCCGTTATACTATAATAACAAGAATAAGGAACTCCACAAAATAGTATTGGTAATTCTTTAGGCCCGTACATTAGACACCCCAAACCCAAAGACCCCTCTCCCCAGAGAGTTGCGGAAGCGGAACTCTCCGAGCCTTACAAGTTCTGGAGTGTGGGGTTCCTTTAAGGCTTCCTTTAAGGGTTTGGGGTTTAGGGTTTAGGGGGGTTTAAAGCCTAAAGCCCTAAATCTTAAACCCCAAACCGTCAGTTCATAAGTCGAAACGAGTCTAAACCCCAAATAACCTTAAGCCTTAAGCCCTAGATAAGTCTAAAGCCCCCAAAAAAAACCTTAAACCGTAAGTTTTCAAGTCTAAACGAGCAGCCGAACCTCGACGAAGTAAATCTCAACCTAAACCCTAAACCCTAAACCCTAAACCCTAAACCCTAAACCCTAAACCTTGGAACCCCAAGGCCTGGAGAAGCTCGAAACCCTTCAGGGCAGGTGCCCAAACCGAACCCTAAACTCCTCTTGGGGTTTTGGGGTTAGGGTTTAGGGTTTCGGGGTTCAGGGGTTTAGGGTTTAGGGGTTCACGGGTTTAGGGTTTTGGGGTTTAGGGTTTAGGGTTTTGGGGTTTCGGGCTTCCGAAAACCCCTTGCACTCCAACGCACTCATAAGCCCCGAGACTACAGCCCTCATAGAACCCCTTAAACCTTATCCCTATCCCCCTAAACGCACCCTAAACCCTGAACCCTAAAACCCCTAAACCCCTAAACTCCTAAATCCTAAAACCCCTAGAGACATCGCAGATCCTAAACCCTAAACCCCTAAACCCTAAACCCTAAACCGTTAAAACCCCTAAAAACATCGGAGATCCTAAACCCCAAACCGTTAAAACCCCTAGAAGCATCGGAGATCCGTAAACTAAACCCGAAAACTTCTGGAAGCACCGGAGATCCCGAGTGCGCCTGGAGAAGTCCTCAAGGGGTCGCTCGGCAGCCGGAGCTTTCCCCGGAGCTGCTTTGGCCTTGGCCTCTCCGGCGCTTTAGGGCTTTAGGGTTTAGGGTTTAGGGCTTAGGGCTTAGGGCTTAGGGTTTGGGGCTGAAGGGTTTAGGGCTTGAGGGTTTAGGGTTTAGGGCTTTAGGGTTTAGGGCTTGAGGGCTTGAGGGCTTGAGGGCTTGAGGGTTTGAGGGTTTGAGGGCTTGAGGGTTTGAAGGTTTGGGGTTTGGTTCTAGGCTGGGGTGTTTTACGGCAATGTTGAATCTCAGGGTTGACTAGGGCTTCATCGGGTTTTGCAGGGGCTCGAAGGGCTGTAGAAGGCGGCTGAAAAGATGCATCAAGGTTTAGGGTTCAGGGAATCTTGCGTCTGTGTGGTTTAGGGTTTAGGGTATGAGACTACAACGACTTCGAGACTTGATCCGGGTTTCAGCAGAGTCCACAAGGAGTCCTTTTAGGCAGGGGATCTATGCTCTGTATCATGGCTTCTTGGGATGCGGGTTTTGAGCCTGCTGGGGGCTTGAGGCTTTCGAGCTTTTGGGCAGGGTTGTACATCACTCATCCATGATCACTGGGGGGTCGAAAGTGTGCGGGGTTCAAGACTGCGGTAGAAATGAGACGCGGTTACTCTTTCAACTAGCTAGCATGTTGAGAGATCCCGTGAGGACAGACTTGTGAAGGTGGTTTGTTCATCTTGGGTCCTTTGCGCTGCTGGGACTCACCGTAGGTTCGCCGCTGTACATGAATGTGGTGATTCACGCGTGGTTGGGGGGCAGGGGGTGGCAGGGTTGCTGGCCTGCACCAATGCTCAAACATCTCTGCCACGCATGCTGTGAACCTGAGAGCATTGCCCTCTGCAACACAGTTGCTGACCAATGCAGGCACGGGGAATAATTAGTCAAAGTTGAGACCGTGGGGCCTAGATGCACTTACGGTGGACGATCATCGGCCCGCTCTCATCGTACTCGGCTTTGGAAATCCACATCTGCTGGAAGGTGCTCAGCGACGAAAGGATGGAGCCACCGATCCACACGCTGTACTTCCTCTCAGGGGGTGCGATGACTTTCACCTTCACGGTGGAGGGTGCCAGGGCACAAAGCTCCTTGGTCATGCGCTCGCCGATACCCGGCATCATCGTGGAGCCGCCGGACAGGACCACGTTCTGATAGAGGTCGCGCCGGATGTCCACATCGCAACTCATGATGGACCGGAAGGTGGTGTCGTGGATTCCCATCGCCTCCTTGCCCACCAGGCTGGGCTGGAACAGCACCTCTGGGCAGCGGAAGCGCTCGCTGTGCAAAGAGACGATGTTCCCATCCGGCAACTCATAGGTCTTCGCACCATCGCTGCTCTCCGCTGCAGACTTCAGCTCACTGTTGAAGTCCAGGGCGATGTAGCAAAGCTTCCTTAGCTCTGAAACTCACGAGGCTCCAGGTGACAGACATCCCGAAGCCCGAAACTCCTCAGTCCTGAACATTCAACCCTAAACCCTAAACCTAAAACCCCTGAACCCCGAAATCCGTAAACCCCTAAACCCTGAACTCCTAAACCTTCACCCCTAAACTCGTAACCCGAATCCCAAAGAACATCAAACTCTGCCAGCCCATTTCGGAGGCTCTCCTTGATGTCTCGCACGATCTCTCGTTCAGCGCTGTTGCTGAAGGAGTAGCCACTCCTTGGTTCGTAAAGCTTCATAGGTAGGGTTTCGGGCTTGGGGTTTGGATGCTCTTGAAGGCCCCCAAATACATATATTTAGTAGTAAAAGAATAAGGATACTCTTTCATACGGAGGCCGCAAAATAAAGACGTTCCAGAACAAGGGTACCACTTTTCTTCATTAAAATAGAAGCAGCTATAAGGGAACTACTGGGGCAGGCCTAGGCTCTCCGTCATGATCTTCATCATGTATTCGGTAAGGTCACGGCCAGCTAGATCCAGGCGTGCAATGGCATGGGGAAGTGCGTATCCCTCGTATATGGGAACTGTGTGCGACACGCCATCTCCCGAATCCATGACGATGCCTGTAGTTCTGCCGGAGGAATACAGCGAGAGCACCGCCTGAATCGCCACATACATCGCTGGCACTCCGAACGTCTCGAACATAATCCTTAGCTGTCTGCTGCCTGGAAAACAAGAATGCCTGAATGCCGTCACGCCTTGAAATCGCTTTTTAATTGCCCGAACAGTATTGAACATGCTGGAATGTGCCAGGGAATCTGTGTCATGCGCTCGCGGTTGGCCTTCGGATTCAGTGGCGCTTCTGTAAGCAGAACCGGATGCTCTTCGGGCGATACGCGCAGCTCGTTGTAGAAAGTGTGGTGCCAGATTCGCTCCATGTCGTCCCAGTTCGTCACGATGCCGTGCTCGATAGGGTACTTGAGAGCCAGGACACCACGCTTTGCTTGCGCTTCGTCTCCGACGTAGTGGTCTTTCCTTAGCGATATGCTTCCGGATGTTTCATATTCTGACTTTCTGACAACATGTATATACTACCGCAGAAGTCGTTGATAGGAAAATCGATGAAGAATCCCCGCAACTACAACTACTGTTACTCAACAGCATCGCTATGGCTACGGCCATTGCCATTGCCATTGCGATTGTGAGTACGATTGCGATTCCCATTCATCTTGCTCTTGCTGTTGCTATTGCTACCGCTGATGCTACTTTCTCTGCTACTGCCGCTACGGCTACTGAACTGCTTTTTTGAATTTTTACTAAGACGACGACGACAAGCACCACCACGATACTACTACCGCTGCTACTACTACTACTACTACTACTACTACTACTACTACTGTTATTACTACTACTACTACTACTACTACTACTGCTACTACTACTACTACTACTACTACTGTTATTATTACTACTACTACTACTACTACTACTACTACTACCACCACTACCACCACTGCAACTACCACTACTTCTACGACGACACTTCTACTCTGATCGGCATTACATATCTTTCTCGTGGCTCAAAGCAGTTCTTCAGAGGGTCTGATCCATCCCCACCACGATGCTCCGGTGCTTCGGTCGCCCGATCAGGGAGGGAAAAACCGTTCGCGGAGCGTCGTCACCGGAGAAGCCGGCCTGAGAGAACAGCTCTTGGAGGGTTTTAGGCTTTTTTCATAGAGGTATTGGATTAAGTTTATCTGGTCATTTCCGCTTCAGGGCTTGAGGCTTCAAGACGATGGGCTTACGTCCGGAGCTTTCGGGTCGAGACAAGACCCTAAACCCTAAACCGCCCTAAAGCCCTAAACCTTAAACCGGAATACTCCTGCTGGAGTCTGCAGAGACCGAACAACTGTCAGGTCTGTAGCTGCGGTTTAGGATTCAGAGCTTGTTCAGGCTTTTGTGTTCGGGGTTTAGGGTTTAGGGTTTGGGGTTTCGGCACTTAGGTCGGCACTTTGGCTGCTTTTGGAAAGTTTCGGTTGCCTTGCACATGCCACTGCCATTGTCCACCACGAGAGCGACAGCCTCGTCCGACATGGCTAACTCCGAGACACTTGGTGGAAAGAGGCCGCGGGAGGTCAATCTGAGAAGCCGAAATGCTGGCCGCTTCCGAAATTCATTTTAGGGTTTAGGGTTTAGGGTATAGGGTTTATAATAGGGTTTAGGGTTTAATTAGGGTATAGGGTTTATAATAGGGTTTAGGGTTTAGGGTTTTTTCATGCTTGTCTGCAAAAGAAGCGAGACTCGAAGGGCCCTTTCCGGCAGTGTCCGAGCCATAAGACCTGACCCCCAAAACCATGAATCCCTCCGTTGGCCTCTGCCCTATACCCCCGCAAACCACGATTCGCAAATGAAGGTGCCTTGCCACCCTTGTCGGCTTTCTCAGCCCCCTTGTCGGGTTTGTCACCCTTGTCCGCCTTGCTGGCCTGCATGGCTCAGTCGTTTTGAAGCTTGAAAGCCCTAAAGCCCTATACATCCTAAATGCCTAAACCTGCCTGAACCTTTGGGTTGAGGTTCTTAGGGCTCTTTGGGGCACTTGTAACCTCTCACTGCTCAACCCTAAACCGAAAACTTGCGGCTTAAACCCAGAACCTCAAAACGCACTGAACCCTAAACTCTAAAACTTGAAACATCTTGAAACCCTACGCCCGAGAACATACTGAACCACAAATCCTAAACAAACTAAGCCCAAACCCCTGAAACACACCAAACCTTCAAACATGCAGGTTTAAGGTGACCCTTACAGTAGATCCTTAAACAAAACCCTTCTGACACCCTTAATTAAGAAAAGTCTTTTGAAACCCATAACATGGCTCTTATCGGCCCTGAACCCCAAACCCTAAACCACTAAACCCTAGAACCTAACCCCTTAACCCTAAACCGTAAACCCCTAAACCCTGAACCCTACACCCTTAAGCCTAAACCCGAACCCTAAA